GAGAATAGTCCTTGATTACCTTAAATACAACCCCTATGTTCATTGTAGCATACCAGTGTATGAAAGTATTATTTATGAAAATCAAAGCTACTTGTTGAAATTCAAACACATTTTTATAAAAGAAGACATATTTTGACTAAAACAAAATTAGGTAAATCGAGTGGAAGCCAAAAAAAAAAAAAAAACCCAAAAAAACCCATAATCTTTTTTTAAAACACCAAACCAGATCCAGGACATAATTTTTTTTTTTTGAGAGTCTCACTCTGTTGCCTGGGCTAGAGTGCCATGACGTCAGGCTAGCTCACAGCACCTCAGACTCCTGGGCTCAAGCGATCCTCCTGCCTCAGCCTCCTGAGTAGCTGGGACTACAGGCATGTGCCACCATGCCTGGCTAATTTTTTCTATATGTTTTTAGTTGGCCAATTAATTTCTTTCTATTTTTAGTAGAGACCGGGTCTCCATCTTGCTCAGGCTGGTCTCGAACTCCTGACCTTGAGCGATTCTCCCGCCTCGGCCTCCCAGAGTGCTAGGATTACAGGCGTGAGCCACCACAGGACAAAATCTTAATTAATTAATTAATTTTTTATTATAATGTCATGACATATTAACATAATCTTAATTTAATCACCTTTTCCTACTAAAACATTTTAACTATGTTTAAAAACTACTAAAGGTAAACTAGGAGATACACCTTAAGTGCAGGTTTCATAGGCACTTAATTATTTCTCACTAAATACAGTTTTGCTCAGGCACAAAACTTTGGAGTCATGCTAGATTCCTCTTGGTCTCTTCTCAAATCCAATCTACCCATAAATCCTGTCAGTTGTATAATACCTTCATCTCAGTACCTCCACTGCTGCGCCATATCCAGGCCACCAGTGTCCCTCTCCTGAGCTTTGTATCAGCCTCTTATCTGGTCTCCTGCTTCCACCACTGTGAGTTCTGCATCCAGTTGCTGGAGTGATCAATGATGGAGAGCAGTTTCATCACCGCTCTTCCTTGTTCAGTACCCTCCAGGGGCCCCCATGACACACAAGTCCTCATGTTGGTCCCCTGGCCCCTGCCTGCCTCTTGGGACTTATTCCTCGACGCTCCCCCTCAGTCACTCTACTCCGATCACATGGTCCTCCTTTCTGTTCTTTAAACACACAATAAATATTTGTTGAATAAATGAATGAATTCTATAATAGTTATAGTCAATTACAATTTGTACATGCTGTGTGCTAGCCCAGCCCAGAGGTGCTCTCTTACCCAGCTGGCATCAGCTGCTGGTTCTCACACCATACTAGGTAGCAGAATCATCTGGAGGGCTTGTTAAAACTCAGATGGTTTGGGATGGCCTAAAAATTTACATTTCTAAGTTTCTAAGGGATGCTGATCCGGGCATAGACTTTGGTCTAAAGATTCTAGCATGGAAGACCAATTGACCATTCTGAGCAGAAATTTGGCAAATTTTGACCTGGTATTCCTATATGCCTCTAGGGGTGAACAGATGTATTGCAGATGTATTGGGGGGGGGACCGTAGATCTCCTTTTTTGACACTTAGCCACAGGGTGGCCCCCTAGCTCCAGTAATTCCTCCCTCAGGCCCCCAATTAAAACACCTTTTGTTATTTGGAGATGTTCCAAGCCATTTCTCTTAAAAAAAAAAAATCAGCTCTAAGACCAGGAGTTTGCTATTTACAAAAAGGGCAGGTGCTCCATGGGACAGGGTGGTGGTTTTCTCAGTAATGTAAGACTTGTATGCTCTATTGGAAGTCACTGCGTCTCAGATGGAAATTAGATCTGTAAGTAGGAGACAACATTACATCGGAAGATGAAAGGAGATTTCATTTTAGCCCACAAGAAGGGATCATGCGCAGGACAAACTTCTACCCCCATGTAGCCCATGGCGCCATGCACACAGTGGACACTCCATAAGCCCTCACCCCAAAGCCTACCCCAAACTGCTGTCATTGTGGGGGAGAGGAGAGGACCTTTCCTTCAGCTTCCAGCTGCACTTCTCCAGCATCTTCACCTCCCAGATAAGGGGGCTGGGGACCAGCAGGAGTGAGTGACAAGGATAGGGACCAAGGGCCTAGCAATGCTGCCTTCCCGGGCTGTCACACCTGGCCTGGCGTTGGAACCTGAGAGGGGCAGCTGGGCTGGCAGCTGACAGAGTGCTGAGTGCTGGAGAGCTGCCCCGGGGAGGCACCGCGAGTGGGCCCAACCTGTGGGTCCTCCCTCTTCAGCCCTGCGCACTTGCTCTCCTGCTTCTCTTTATCTGTAGAGTGAAGCCCAATGTCATACGTTAACAGAGCCTGGAAAAGGCATCCAAGTGAGAATGTACAAAGGTTAAAAACAGCCTTCCATATTATAAGGGTGCTCCACTCCCAGAAAGATAATGGCGACTGTAAAATCCTTAATGACTCTTTTGTCCATTAGTCAGATTCTTCAACAACATAGTCTTAGCAGCTTAAACATAATCACATGTGAAGAGGCAGTGGCTCTTTTTTCTCAATGAGGTCTTATTGAGGCAATAGGCAGACTGCTTTGGGTACTACTGATAATTTTAATCTTTGTTTCAGTTTAAGGTTTTTGAGACCTTTGCTTCTTCTCACAAATATCATTACTTTAATTTCTTGGTTTTCCACTCATAAGAGAGAGAGAGAAAGAGAGAGAGAGAACAGGGCAAGTGCAATCAAATACTCAAATAGCTGTAAAACAAATTTTGCTCAACAAAAATGGTGACAACATAGAAACAAACTCACTGGCCGGTAGGCAGGAGCACCGTGAGAGGGTTTGAAGTATTTATTCGTTCATTCACAACAGCCTGCATCTGTCATGTGCTGGGCACTTAGGGGAACCCAGACCTTGTCTGGAATGGGGCATGCGTCCTGTGAGCAGGAGCTGTGGCAGACCCCGCAGTGTGGACACTCAAGGGCCCATCTAACTCCTGTCAGGAAGATGTTCCTTCCTGAGCTATAAGGCTGAGACCTAGAGAGTGCTTTCCCAGATGTCCTTGCAGGTCTGCCAAGCAGAGCACCTGCATGAAACTCAGAGCCTCACGTCCACCGGGAAAGTGGACGCGCGCAACACGGGATAGAGCTATGCTGGGAGAGCAGATTAGAGTAGCTCTGGGGGAGGGTCCACTGCCTGGTTCCTAACGTCACAGGGGTGGGGTGGTGGGCAGCAGCAGTGAACTGCTGTCAGAACAGTTTTAGAGCTCTTATCTGTATGGTTCCTGGCTATTAGCAACCCACCTGTGTTTCTCTCTCTCCCAGAAATTCTGTATGCTCTTTAATAATACCCTGTAATCAATGCTTTTCTGCTTTTGGTAGCTAAATTAGATGCTGTTGTCTATAATTTGGACCTCTTACCAAGAGAGTACTCTAACCAAATCAGAGATACTCAGCATGGGCTCAAGAAGAGGTGCCTTGACAGTATTCTCTCCAAGTCCCCTGCAGTTGTGAAAGTCTGTTACACTTTCTTGTAGTGCTTGTTCACAGTTCCGACTCCTTTCTCTGTTGGCCCTAATGGTTATCAGCCAGAGGGTCATCCCTGACTGCTGGATTGTACCCTCCGTTCCCTCATCCAGTTCCTCCAAGGTATTCAGGTTGACATCCAGCCTGAAACTCTTCCTTGGCACTTTTGTGGCACCTCTGGCACTGTCATTTGCATGTCTTTTGGCAACTATTGCCATGAGAACACAAACACCGTGGAGAAGCAAACATGTCAACTTGCATGACTCAGAATGAAAGAACAAAGCACAAGTGTGCAGTGATGCAGAGTTCACAGTGTAGCACGCCACGGGGGCTCTCGCAGGCTGAAAGCACAGGATCATACTTGCCCTATGGGCTATTGGGTGTTGCAAAAAAATCTGTGTTGACTCTATCCTTTAATACTATAATTTCTCACATGAGCAGCTCTATCAGCTTTGCTAGAACAATATTAAGTGTGGTATACGTGCTTTTATTGTACAAAAGGGCAGATGGCAGGAAGTTTGAACATAGGGAAGTTGAAAGCCACCTGGAGATACTTTTGTAAATAACACTAACTAGAGGCCACATGGAGGCTCACTCCTGTAATCCTAGCACTCTGGGAGGCTGAGGCAGGCAGATCGCTCAAGGTCAGGAGTTCGAAACCAGCCTGAGCAAGAGCGAGACCTCGTCTCTACTAAAAAAAAAAAAAATAGAAAGAAATTAATTGGCCAACTAAAACTATATATAGAAAAAATTAGCCAGGCATGGTGGCACATGTCTGTAGTTCCAGCTACTCGGGAGGCTGAGGCAGGAGGATTGCTTGAGCCCAGGAGTTTGAGGTTGCTGTGAGCTAGGCTGACGCCACGGCACTCTAGCCCAGGGAACAGAGCGAGATTCTGTCTCAAAAAATAAATAAATAAAAATAAATAAATAAATAAATAAATAACACTAACCAGACAGGGAGAGAAGGCCCCTGTGCTAAGAAAGGGGCATGACGGAGCAGCGCAGTGGTTTGCAGCCTTGGCTGTGTATTAGAATCACCTGCGACTCTAAAATGCCAATATCCCAAACTCAGACCAGTCTTTGTGGGTGGGGGATTCTAATGAGGCTTCAAGGTTGAGAACCACTGGATAGAGCTTTCTACTTTGCCCTATTGAGCCTCATGAGTGTGCTTTTTCTCCGCTCTCCAGTGTTGTCTGAGGCTTCAGGCTAAGTAAACACATAGGTTTTCCTAGTTAGTAGCATTCCTGGCTGGAGATAGGCTTCTCATTCAAAAGACTGTCTCTCCTAAGAGAATTCAGGTACTTCCAGACAAAATTCAGTTATCATTTTTTATTTTTTTGTTAATTAAGATATTTTTACATTTTTGTTTTTCTTAATAATTTAACTTGTCATTGGCTACATCTGTGGAAAGGTTGGGGCATCTTTGATTCTTAGTGGAACCACAGATAGTCAGCAAGGTGAAAAATGTAAATGATGGTTCTGTAATCATCCTCTTCGTAAAAACCAGGGTATGAATTGCATTGCATTTTTATCTAGGGCAAGATCACCTCCTTGGCAGACAGAGTACAAACAAGAGCAAATTTCTCCTCAGATGAGGTAATCCGCGGCTCCTCTAGTTAGAGATTTTTGAGCAATTACCTAGAATGGAGTTTTCCAGCAAAGACCCTGAGCCAGGGGTGCCCACAGATGCTGACAGCTCTAGTTCTTTGGTTCTCGAACATTCACATACTCAAGAATCAGCTGGGAGCTTGTGTAATGCAGAGTTCCTAGGCCTGCCACAATGCTGCTGACCAAGCAACTCTCAGCCTCAGCTGCACATTGAAATCCCCTGGGCAGCTTTAGAAATACTGGTGCTCAAGTTCTCCCAGCCCCCACTAGAAATTTTGCTTATATGCTTTGGGGTATGGCCTGGGCATGGGGATTTTCCAGAGTTCTCACAGTAGTCTACTATGCAGCCAGGCCTGGGAACCACTGGCAAGAAAAATGCCTCTGTGGACTTGTATTCCTATTTTCCTTTTCCTCTTGGAAAGTCTTTTTTCCTAAGTTTCTTCCACATTCCATCAGCAGTGGAGCACAAGAGTAGAACTCAGGGACCATCTAGTCCAACTCCCTCAGTTTGCAGGAGGCGAACCGACCACCCAAGGCCACAGGGCTATGCAGTCAGCCCCTGGGTGCAGCCTCCCTCTCACATTGTCCTGCCCCCATTGTGTTGCCTGCTGGGAAACAGAGGGAATTTCGTATGAAGCAAAATGCTATAAAACATTAGAAATGAGGAATAATATAATCATATTATATTATTTGGTCCTTTAAAGATCTTTAAAAGTCCCCATCAATTTGTAACTTCATACTATCTTCCATATTTATAGAGTAATGCTGGTTTCCTAGGGGCAATTACTCATGTTCCCAACAGGCCACAGATTGACTGAAAATGGGTGTGCTCTTGTCCCTAACTCTCACTCTCAGGGACAGATTGGATTTGGTCAGGCTGATGGACAGGCTGAGCTTCCAGGGAAGTATTTTAGCAGTTGATCCTTGCTTTTCTTTCCTAAATCTCCATGAATATGTATACATCAGGTATCTTGTGTGTATCAGGCTAATGCCTTCCATGGCCTACTAGCAAAGTGGAAATTGGTCAGATCAGGGGTTCCTGGACAAGAGACTTCTCAGCTAGCAATTTATTGAGGAAAAGGCCCTAATATGCCCACTTTCCTTGTGTGTAGGGGTGTGGGGGTGGGTGCTGCTAAGGAGGGCTGCTCCCCTTGGGAGCCCTGCAAGGGGGTGAGTATGTGTATAGTCATCCTAAGACTCATCAATGCCTTGCCAGTTTTTTCAGTGCCCCATTTTGTAGAAGAGAGTTCATTCTATAGAGAACAAACTGCTAACAGGAAAACCACCCATGCATTTCTACTGTTAGATTCAAGCCACCTGTTAGCATCATATCAGTGTCCTGGAGAGGCTCAATTCTTCATTTCATTCATTTCTCATTTCTTCCTTCCCATTGTTCCACAGACATTGATTGTGTGCCTGTTATGTCATAAGGTAAGTGATATAATAATAGTTTCAGGATTGGGTCACCCCGGAGGGAGCTGGGAATTTCTGGGCCTTGGAATTTCTGCTGGGCAGTCCCTGCCTATAGAAAGAGATTATCTGAGTGTTTTAGTGAAACACTAAAAAATCAGCATGAAATGATAAGTTTGTTGTCCCATATTTATATAAGTATATAAAAACACATTTGATTTCAGAATTAGAAGTACAAGTTTGCCAGTAATAAGCTCATTATTTGAAAGACTTGTTCAATTCTGACTAATACAGTGAAAGGAACTTAAACCTTCTAAAAGGAAAAACCCCAAATCTATAATCAGTTTATACAGAACTGGATAAAAATGATCCTGCTTAAATCACAAGAATGTCTATTCTCAATTCAAGAAAGAAATTGAAATACAATCTTATATTTATCATTCTTCATGATGACAAATGATAACATAATTCTAACGAATTGCTGACCAAAGAAGATATACAAATGGCCAATGAACACATGAAAAGATGCCCAGAATCATTAGCCATCAGGAAATGCAAATGACTATCCCAGTGAGGTACTACTTCATATCCACTATAATTTGAAACAAGATAATAACAAGTCTTGGTGAGAATGTGGGGAAATTAGAACCCTCAGGCACTGCTGGTGGAGATGGAAAATGGTGCAGCCACTTTGGAAAACAGTCTGGCAGTTCCTAAAAAAGTTAAACACAGTTACCATAACCCAGGAATTCCACTCCTACATGGAATCATATAGATATATACCCAAGAGAAATTAAATCCTAAGTATATGCCTGAGAAAAAGTACTCAAGAGAAATTAAAACATATGTCCACACAAAAACTTGTATGTAAATGTTCATGGCAGCATTATTCGTAATAGTTGAAAAGTAGGAACAACTATTAACTGATGAATGGATAAGTAAAATGTGATATATCCATAAAATGTAATGTGATTTAGTGGGGGAAAAAACAAAGTACTGGTACATGCTATATATGGTATGCTAAGTGAAAGAAACCAGTCAGAAAAGTCTGTATATTTATGATTTCATTGATATGAAATATCTAGAATAGGCCATTCTATAGAGACAAAAGGTGGACAGTAGTTGTCCAGGGTTGTAGGGGACTGAGAGGGCAGAATGAGAGTGACTGCTAATGGATATGGGGTTTCTTTTGAAGGTGATGAAAATGTGCTAAAATGGACTGTAGTGCTATTTGAATATATCTGTGAATACATAAAAAAATACTGAATTAGGTACTTTAAAAGGCATAATGAATGAATTTTATCTCAAAGTTGTTCAATTATAACCTGTGAACAGTTGATAGTTTTTCCATGTGTGTCTAATTTTGTGAAGGTAGGATAAAGAAAAAAATTGCAAAAAAAATGAGGATACTATTTTTTATATCCAAACAGAAAACCAGATCTAACTATTGCTTAATACCTTTGAGTTGAGAGACAGTGGTTTAACTCTGCTTCCCATAGTTCATGACAATTTAGAGAGATGTCTATTTTAATTGCATAGTTTTGTTTCTCTATTGCTATGTCACAAATTATCCCCACAACTCATCAGCTTAAAACAATAATAAACATATTTATCTCACACAGTTTCTTCAGGTCAGGAATTCAAGAATGGAGCATCTTGGTGGTTCTGGCTCAAGGTTGTAGTCCAGATGACTGTTGGGGCTGTAGTCATCTGAAGGCTTGACTGGTCCTGGAGAATCTGTTTCTCAGATGATGTACTCACATCACATGACTGGCAAGTTGATGTTGACTCTTTTTTTTTTTGAGACAGAGTCTCGCTTTGTTGCCCAGGCTAGAGTGAGTGCCGTGGCGTCAGCCTAGCTCACAGCAACCTCAATCTCCTGGGCTCAAGCAATCCTTCTGCCTCAGCCTCCCGAGTAGCTGGGACTACAGGCATGTGCCACCATGCCCGGCTAATTTTTTCTAATATGTTTAGTTGGCCAGTTAATTTCTTTCTATTTATAGTAGAGACGAGGTCTCGCTCTTGTTCAGGCTGGTTTCGAACTCCTGACCTCGAGCAATCCGCCCGCCTCGGCCTCCCAGAGTGCTAGGATTACAGGTGTGAGCCACTGCGCCCGGCCTGATTTTGACTCCTGACAGACGCTTCAGTTCCTCTTCATAAGACTGCTTGAGTGTCCTCTCAACATGGCTGCTGGCTTCCTCCAGAGTGAGATCCATGAGTGAGCAAGGTAGAAGCCCTAGTGCCTTTTATGACCTACCATGAAAGTCACCCATCCTCATTTCCACACTATCCCATTGTTTACACAGATCAGGCCTACTTGGTTTGTATATTAATAGAGACTAAACAAAGCATGAATACTAGCAGGCAGGGATCATTGGGGGCCATCTTGGAGGCCCCTTAGATATGTGCTTTAGTTTATCTCCCAGCTAGTTAAAATTTCAACTAGCCAACCAACAAACCTCAGGCCATTTTCCTTGTCCAGAATGTTCATTGTCCTAGTATTAGCATGGCTGAGCCTTCTTTCCTGAGCTGAACATTACAGTATAGTTTATACTTGGCTTTCACCAAACAATACCAGTGGCAAATGGGTCAGGAGAGTGGGGAAATATGACATAATCTTTAGAGCTGGAGTTGGCAGACTTTTTCCATAAAGGATAAGATAGTAAATTACTTAGGCTTTCTGGGACAAGAGGCAAAATCAAGGATATCACATAGGTTCTTATACAACAAATGAGAAAACTCCTGCCCTGTCTTGCCCTGCACAATTTGCCTGGGGTGGGCCATCCCCAATGATGGTCACACCTGATGCTTAGTTGGCATCAGCTGGAGACATTCTCAGGACAAAGAACCACTGGCCTGATGGGGAGGGGCTTGACCTGGGCCACTGGCCAGAGAGGTAAGGCAATTCACTGAGTTGCTGAATTCTAGGCTGAGATTCCACTGCTTGGAATCTCAACTGCAGTTGCCAACAGTGAAGTCCCCAACACGTAGGTGGTGGTGACAACATGGGCCCTGGGCAGGGTGAGATGTAGCCACCAAGCAGGAATGCTGGTGCTGGAGGAAACAGGGGCCAGGGTTGCATATGACTTTCATGGGCCTTGGCCCTTTTGCCTTCATGGACCTTTCCTCTGTTAAAATTTGTTAAAAGTTCTATTTTATAACTGTGTTAGTGTAAAGACAAATATAATCACTGCTAGGTTATGTTATTTTTCTTCTGATTTTAAGATAAATTATTTTCACAGGCTCCTAAAAGCATTGTGGGCCCTAGGCCCTGTGAGTGCTGTACCTTGTGGGTGAGTTGGCCCTGCTTGAGTGGGGGGAGACACCGAAGCGTGGTGCCTGTGGCTCACACGCTAGTGTGCTGGAGCAGTGCCCACAGCCATACAATAGGCAGTGGACTAGCTCTGGCCTGTGGGCATAGTTTGCTGACCCTTGCTCTAGATGACCAAGGTGCAATTAGCTGAGAGAATTTGGTGGGGGTGTCACAGGACACCCGCGAAAAGACATGGTCATCCAAAGTGACCGGTATCCACTACAGAGAGTTAGACCTGCCAGCTGCTAATTAACCACCTCCTCTCCTGGATTTTTTTCCCATTTCACTTATGGAAAAGTACATAAAACATAAGTGTACAGCTTGATGAATTATCACAAAGCAAACACACATCCAGTCTGAGAAGTAAAACATTGCTAGCACTTCCAGATGCCCCTCTCATTCCTCCCAATCACTTCCCTCTCCCTCCACCTGAGCCTATTAAACTGACTTCTATGCTCTAGGTAGAAGTTTTTTGGGTTTTGACCGGGTATAAGCAGAATAATACTGTGTAGAACGCTACACTCTTTGGCATCTGGCCTCATTCATCCCTGGTCGTTGTTGTGCTTTGTTTTTTGAAGAACTGAATGGAGTGGGCACTGCTCAGGCACTGCTGATGGAGATGGAAAATGGTGCAGCCACAAGACCTTGGAGCCATTCTTCTGTGATGAGATCAGTTCTCTTAAAGGGGCTTGGCTGGAGGTGGAAGGCCTGTGAGGTGTCAGTGCATTGATGTTACGAAGTGCCTACCAATGAACCCAGGTGCCTTGTTAGAAGAATGCCACAGATGGAAAAATCATGACTGGTGAGACTGATTAAGAAAGTTCCTCTTGACTGCAACCTTGTGGTCTGAAACTTACTAACCCATACCTATTAACAGGAAAAAAAATTTTACGGGGAAGACAGATTCAACATGCTTTATGTTTGAGTGTGACTCAAACCTTTTAACTGCACCCTACCCCAGGAGTTCAGGGCTGCCACATTACATCCTCAAAGGCTGCGTACTGCTCGGGTCCTGGGAGTGTCATTCGCCCAGAACTCAGTGTGGATGGTACCCCCTGGAACTGCAGATGTTGCAGCCCTGCCAGTGTTAACACAACCAGCTGCCTGAATCTAGACTACATTTTAACTTAGCACCTGGTCTAGGTTTATGGACGTTCATCTGTTATATATGTTTACACAAAAGGCTCTTCTAGTTAGTTAAGTGTTTGGGTTAATCCATTAACCAGAATTTTTTTTTTTTTGGTCCAATTCCTCATGAAAAAAAATAAACTTTCTGAATAGATGCAGAACAGAACAGATAAAATGATTAAACCTGTATTTGATGATTAAGAGGATCTTGGCTTACAGGGTCCCCTTTGGGTGTGTGTGGGGAGAATGGGGTATAGTGGGATAGTGGACAGTGGCTACGTTTTGAACATCAATTCTCTTTATCTGGGATATATCTAGAAAAGGAAAAGATGTTATGATCCTATTTATGTGAAATGTCCAGAGTAGGCAAATCCATAAAGACAAAGTAGATTAGTGGTTTCTCTTCCGGGTGATGAAAATCTTTTGGAATTAGATGGTTGTGATGGTTGCACAACTCTGTGCATGTACTAAAAACCACTGAATCATATACATTATAAGGATGGATTGTATGGTATGTAGATTAAATCCCAATAAAGCTATTATTTTTTTTTAAAAAGTGAAGAGACACTGAATTGTTACCTCAGGATACCCCTGGAGCTATTTCTTCAAAGAAGGAAGACTTCTGAGCTTTGTGTATGGTTTTCTTTTCCCCTAAAAGCAGAGCTTGGGGATAGTTGTGCCCTGGGACTAGTTTACCTGTTATAAACCACACTAAGAGTCCCAAGGATATCATTTCAGTCTCATGTCTTGCTCTAAATAATCCTAAATCTACTAAAAATCCAGTCCAACACACTTTGCTATATCTCTCCAAAGATACATAATTCAGGTTTGAGAATCTGATTTGAGAAATTTTAGGATACTCAGTTCCAACTTTCTGAAAAGATGAAAAACCAGTGGGGACTCATGGCTGTCTTCCTTTGAGAGGACATTTTATTTCAAGTGGCTTAAGATTCTTCCTCTTGCTATGTACTCTCTCACTCACCAAGAGTCCCAAGCAAAAGGGCCTGCAAGGCAAGGGCCCTGAGATGGGAAGGTGGACCAGAACCCAAACACCCAGGCCTGTCTATGCCTTTCCTGAGTGTGTGCTGGGAGTCAGTCCCTGTGTAGAAGATAGGGTGTTGCAAGGAATTAATCTGCATCCTGGATTACAACTTGGAAGGATACAGCTAAAGAGAGAAAATAGTGAATTGAAAGCTTGTTTTGTGAGAAAAGGACATTCAAGTGCATCCTAAAAATTGTTTACCAAGCCCAGTTCCTTTTAAGCAGTTGTCCAAACATTTTTAGAACCAAATGTTCACAACAGATATACTCCTTAGTATACAGGCAGGGACGGGCAGAGGGGCCCACAGGTTGAGACAGGTCTTCCTCTCTGTCTCTCCAAGAGACAAAGGGATCAAATGCATGCATGCCACTTGTTGGGTCCAGACACAGGCTGCTTGGGAACCTTTCCAGCCACTGTGTCTGACTTGAGAGCAAACACCGACACTGCACATTCCATGTGGCAGGTGCTTTTCTGAGCACTTCATATATACTGACTCCTCTAACCCTTACAGTAGCCTATGCCATTGCTGCAATATTCTCCCCATTTTGAATATGACAGTGAGGCACAGAGAGATTATCATGCCCAGGGTCACACAGCAAGCAGTGACAGAGCTGGAACTGGAACCCAGACAGCCCATGTTCTTCCTCACTACACTGTCTCTGCTGTTTGCTGACATAATTGAAAGTTCCTTTGCGCAGGCTCAAGTGGCCCAACAGATCAATGCTCCTCCTGGTCACCTGGGAAGAGGTGGCTTGAGCGTGTGGAATTGCTTCTCTTGATTTGGTTACATGGAAAAGCTGAATCACCAAGGACTCTCTCCAAACCTCCAAACTCTATCCACAGAGGCAAATCCAGGCAGCCACACTGGAGGGTAGGAATCCAAACGGTTGTTCCTAACAGGCTCCATCAGGCCCCTGGTCTGTGCATACTCTCTCCTCATCCTTTGGGCATTTGCCCAACAATTAAAACCGTTTCCTGTATTATATGAAGAGCTGGAAATGTCCAGGTCAGAGCAGGATCTGTTTCTTCAGAAGCCCCAGAGTCCGGAAACCAAAGCTTCCAATGTGAGTTTGCAAGATAATCCTGTTATTAGAGGCTTTCAGATTCCCTAATTGTGCTGGAATGTGGGGTTGTTGAAAATGAGATTAAATAAAAGTGGGCTGGGTGTGCTGGTGGCCATGGTAGAGGCATGGGCAGCGCTCTCTTTCAGGGACTGCCCCAGTGATTCTATGGCCTGGGGCATTCATCCTTATTATTTCTGCTTGGCACTTGGCTGACAGGAGATGGTTAGTTAAGGCCTGTCAACTCAGTCATCCTGACAAACTAACTTTGTGGAAGTAGGTGGCAAAACTGCACACTTTTTGCAAGAGC